AAAACAGAAAAGCATGTAGTTTGGACAATTTACTTACGATATCAGTCAGTTATGAGCCAGGCACGCTTAGGCGATCATATATCTTTCGATTCTGTTGTAGTAAAGAAAAGACTATCAACTGATAGTAGGAACTGCAATAAATCTCTTCTATTTCTCGACCGGAACACTTTTAGCCAAATCGCAGTTCAAACGACAGCCCGTGTTAAAAGCCCAACAAATTAGAAGACGAAAAAATAGTGTCACACGTCTAACCTTCTCACGAGCAAAAAAAAAAAAAAAAAAAAAACAAAACGCGCTTGCTTTATACAGCCGAGAACCGACCATAATGCGAATGACCAGACCGCCTGACATAAAACATGGGCGCAGCCATTTTGTTTTTAACCGTTGAGCAGCCGGAGTTTGCACGACGCACAGATTCGCAGGCGTTTCCGAGTTAAACCGTTTTCACAATTTTCCTCACACTCCGCCCTGATCTCATGATCAAAAATAGGGCAGGGAGGTGGCGATCGTCGCCGTCGAGTGCCCCTCCGAAGGGGGACAACACAAGCTTCATTCTCATGCGTACTCTCGTCTGTGGTTTGAGTGTCAGTAAACACCGTGTCCGCCGGGAGGCTACTGATATCGGAATCACTGCCCAGCAGGTCTAACTCCAAGCAGATCGAACGCTCACTTCTCTCAGACTCGGAATCTCTTTCATCGCTCAGTAACGGTAGCATGACTGGTCGCAAGTCTTTAATTTGACGAGGCACCCCATCAACTCTTACAGATTGCGGGCTAATCACCTCCGTAAGACGTCCAGTGCCGTATTTTGTCGTACACTTGCCGCGTGGTTTTTTGACCCAAACAACATCACCTTCTTTCAATCTCCCTCCGGTCACTTTTAGCTCAAGCAACGTGTTGGATTCAATGCCTTTCACTCGGACATGATGATTGTGGAGTGCATCAGCCGGCGCTGTGGACGGTGAAACGTTATCTTTCTGGGCGACATTATACCAGTAAACCGCCTCCGATACTGCACAGCCCTTCCTGGCTGCGATGGTCTTGACGGTTTTCTTGTTTCGCTCTACGACGCCGTTTCCCCTCGGCGAGTAAGCACATCGAAACCGCAGAGGCACGTCCCAATTGTCCGCAATTTTTTTAAAGTCCTTACTGGTGAATGCAGTATCGTTGTCGGTCAGTATTTCCATACGTGGGTCTCGCTCCAGGAAAACATTCTCCAACAGTCGAATGACGGTGCTCGTGTCTTGTCGGCGCAGCAGCTGCCATACCGCAAACCTAGAGGGACCGCAATCAATAAGCGTTAAAAAATTCTCACCATTGTAGTGAGTTGTGTCCATCGCTAGTCTGCTCCAGTTGCTCTTCACGCTCAATTCTCCTCTTTCCCAGTGAACAGGTGCCGGATCGATCGACTGACGGGTTGTGCAGGCCTTCACAATGGATTTAACGATTTCTCTGGACACTTGTGGGTCAACTAATCTGGCGAAGTACGGAGATTGTTTCACACCCGGATGTCTGCTTTGACGATCGGTATTGGACATCTAGTCCTCGTTCAGTCGTCTCCCTACCACTGCGCAGCTCTCGATCGCCGGTTCTCCTCTCTTGAGCAGATCTAGCCACCTGCGCGGTACTCTGGTGTCGATCCGCACAGTTCTGACAGGACTGTACGAGTGCCATATCTATGATCAATCCATATTCTTCTACCAGTGATCACATAATGCCCAGCCGTCGCCTAACCCGCATCTCGCCAGCCACCCTTGTGCTCACCCGTGCCTGCCCGGTCAAGGTGTAGGAAATCCACTGATGCACACACACCGAATCAGTAACCAAGTGCAATGTTGTCCCCTCCCACTGGAGGGCTAGATTGACTCCTTTAAGCACCGCATCGAGTTCAGCTAAATTAATATGCCTGGCATCATTAGTCGGACGCAGCCAACACGCATCTTCGATGAGATTTCCGTTCGCTTCCAATGCCATTCCTGTCGCCACGGAACTCGCATCCACCCAAACTGTGATATCTTCACCACCCATGCACCAGTTTCATATAACGGGATCCAGTTCCCGTACTCTACTTAGCATCTCCACTAGTATGCGACAGAGAGAGGGATCTTTGATTTTATCATCCTGGTTGCTTCTGTTGCCAGGCGCTTGACGAATGCAACCACATCCACACACGGGAAAATGTCCAACAAGTTTCCCGCACAACGAAAATACGCGCCGACGGGTCAACACATCAGGGACTTCCGGATTCTGACTTCCTCGTCTCTATAGGAGGGTGCCATTCTCTTCCCAGACTTGCAAGCCAAGAACTCTTGCTCCATCTCTCAGTCGCACCGGATACTTGCACACCAAACCGCAATCCGTAAAGTGTTGTCGTACACGCGATGCAGAGAACAGACTTTCATTGATGAAAATGTCATCAACGTATGCTGATGTGGCACTTTCAATTGTGCAGTCTTGCAATGTGATGGCGTCTATAACGGATTTCATAATGAGTGGCACCACATTTAGCCCAAATCCTAGCCGCGTAAGACAGAGGCGTTGGCCTTTGAAAATAACCGTTTGAAATGGCCACAGCGCTTCGTCGATGTGAATCTGAAGATATGCGTTTCGCAGATCCAGAAGCGACACATTGACTGCCATCCGCCTCCACGCTCTCAGCTTCTGTGTGCACACTTCGGCATCGGCAGTAAAAGCACCCACAAAGTCGTTCAATTCGCGGTAATCGAGTACCATACGT